AGTTCCCTCCCTATCTCCCCTCATTGTCGCCACACTGATCTGTAGGGTTGGGTCTCAGCACAGCCTAAGTGGAGAAATACAGTTCCTGACCCACAAGGAAATAGCAGACATATTGCTATGATCTGATAGGAACAGGGGTAATGAGTGGGAATTTATTAACCCTGGGAGCGCTCTCTCATTATTCTGGGTTTAACATCCAAGCAAGGATACATAAAACCATCTTCATATGCTTCTGAGATGACTCTTTAAAACTTGGATACAATTATGGCCTACAGAAATGAGGGGGTGATGCCAGAACTTTCTTTACAGAATATCAAAGGAGGCTCAGGGGAGTAAGAATGTTAGATTGTATTTATCATCTAAGACCAGAAACCCTGTCACCAGCTTACATTCCCAAGTCCAGAGGACATATCCTTCACTAAGGCAATGCAAAATGCACAAGTGAAGCATGCCTAGTGGGGATGGTAGCATTCTAGTATAGCAGAGGCCAGATGATGACACTTTATCAACAGAGGCAGAGTGGATATAATTACAAGACCAAGGCGGCAACCAAAGTGCTTCAATTCATGGGATCTGTCGTGAGGGTTAATAGACCATGTTGTTCCCAGGAGTTAAATAAATAAGCAAATGACCAAGTGTTACTTGTATAACAACCTGACCCCACAAATTAAGAGCTGGTGAGCAGAAGAAGCTTGACGTCAGCTATCCCAGCAGGAAATCATATTTCCTCATAAACTTCCCAGATCCAGGCCAATTTACAAGCTCAGGGCTTATTGATTGAAAAGGAGGCCAAGTCTCCTTAAGAAAGATCCCTCCTATGTGGCCGAAGTATATATGATAATTATTTTCCTACAAGGGATCCGTGTCTATTTTAGTCTGCTTGGGGTGCCATAACAAAATACCACAGACTGGGTGTCTTAAACAATAGAAATTTATTCTCTCAATTCCGGAGGCTGGAAAGTCTAAGATCAAGGTGCTGGCCAATTCAGTTCCTGATGAGAGTCATTCTGGCTTATAGATGGCCACGGTCACGCAAGCTCTCTGGTGTCTCTTGGTGTCTCTTCTTATAAGGGCACTAATCCCATCACGAGGGCACCACCCTTGCGATCTCACCTAAATCCAAAAGCCCATTTCCAAATACCATGGCATTGAAGGTTAGGGCTTCAAAATATGAATCTGAGGAGACACAATTCAGTCCAGGGCAGTGGCCTTTTACCAGAATAATTCTGTGCTGAAGAAAGAGAAAGATCCAGACCTTTCAAGGGCTGCTGGATTCAGAGTATGAGCTGGCATTAGTGCCAGAGGATGGGAAACAGCATCATGCTCCCCTTCCCCCATTAAACTGGAGGTTCGTGAAAGCTGGGTGGTAAATGGAGTTCTCATGCAAGCAGGTCTAATGGGTCTAAAGATCCGCGCTGTAGTTCCCTGATTCCTAAATGCATAACTGGGATAGATAAACTTAGCGGCTGGCAAGACCCTAACATTTACTCCCTATCCTATTAAATAAGAGCCATTGAGGTAGCAAGAGCCAAATGGAAGCCTCTGACACACCCACATTTTTGGCCAATTTATTGACTCAGAAGTAAAACTACGTTCCGGGAGGAATTGTAGAGATTACCACCAACAATAAAGATTTTCTTCTCAATATCCTTCATTGAGGGGGATGAAAAGCCATTTGCTTTCATGTGGGGTGAACGGCGGCACATATTGACTTTCTTGTCCCTGGGCTATGCCAATTCTCCTGTTCCCTTTGACAATACAGTATTTAGTGACTTTGATTGTCTTGATATTCCATAGAACATCATGATGGTTCGCTGTACTGATGACATAATGCTAATGTGACCAAGTCCTCTAGATGTCCTACTAAGATATGAGCATGCCAGAAGATGGGCAATAAAAACCATGAAAATTCAGGGCCTGCCATACCGGTGAAGTTTTTTTCTTACCTTTTTGTTCTGGAATGAGTTAAATGTATATACAAGTCGACAAACTAGTAAAATGAACACCAAGGACCACCATCATGGCCAATCTTATTTCATCTATATCCTCACTCACTTCTTCCATCTTACATTATTTGGATGCCAATTGGTGAAGTTATTAGGAATCCAGTAGTCTGGAGCATGCCAGGTCATCCCCTCTAAGGTAAAGGCAAAGTATTGTACCCTGTACCCTCCACCACTAATAAAAAGACATAATTCTTGGTGGGACTATTACTCTGACCGATATATTGGGAAGGCTTCAGTTTTGAGTGAAGTCCAGAGCAAGAGAACTCTACAGTGTGTCCATCTATATATAGTACAAGGTTCCCTGCCATTTGGCCCATGTGACCCAGCAGAAGAGTGGTGCTAGTGGTGTTTGTGGTGATAAGGATGCTGGCTAGAGTTTCTGATAAGCTCTAATAAAAGAGTTTCAGTACAGATCTCTACGGTTCCAGAGCAAGGTCATGCCTTCTACAACAGGAGGCCTTCCTGTGACACCTACTTCAGCTATACCAACATTTCTCTCTTAACTCAAAACAATCTGTGAGTGCAGGGGAGTTGACCAGTGGAGCCAGAACCAGGAAACAAATGCCTCCTCACTCTACATAGCTCTTTAGAAGGTCTCAATGGGATCAAATTCCAGTCACCATGGCAATGAAGGTTGAGACAAGGCTAAGGTAAGTGAAGTGACAGAGGCACTTGCCTCAGGGGCAAAATTTAATGGTGGCACCAAGAAATTCAATAATCGGAATTAATAATATTTAAATATATAATTTTTAAATCTAAATAAAAGTATAAAAGTCCATGATGAATAAAATACAAAACTTTTAAGTAAAGATAGGATCAGGATTACTAATTTTTTCCTTTGGCCTCTGGCTCCAATGTGTCTCAGCACAGCACTGTCGCTGATCCTGGTCATGGTCAATGAGCAGCTAAGTGACATAGTCTTGTGTTGGCCTCACCGCCTTCCCTATTCATTCTCTCCAGCCCCTCACTCCTTTCCTACTCATAATAAACTACCTTCACATAAGTTCTTGTCTCAGCTTTGCTTTTTTACTGGGGGAGAGGGGAGGGATGAAATCAAGCTAAGTAAAGTCCGTGTCCACAAACTGTAACTTTAAGTGAAATAACAACAACAACAACAACAACAACAACGACAAAACAATTTTACCATAGGTTAATTGATAGAAACAAGAGTTACGTTCCCAGGGCATATTTCTAGTCACAAAAATATGACTGAGCTTCTAAATAGACCCCAAACACTTTTAAGAGTAAACATTGAAGTAAATGTGAGCTATACATACACTTAAGAAAAATTAACCAAAATAAGCAAGAACATTATTTTCCAATCCACTTCTCCCGGTTCCAGGTTATGGGTGGGCAGAACCTGTCCCAGCAGCTCAGGGCGCAAGGCAGGAACCCACCTGGGCAGGATGCCCTTCCGTTGCGGGGTGCACTCTCTACACACGCTCAGACTGGGATAATTTAGACATGCCAGTTCACCCATGCAGAAATGGGGAGATGTGCAAACTCCACACAGACAGTGGCTCTGGCTAGGAATTGATTTTCTTGTTCTCATCAATGTTATAACAAAATGACATCAAACAAGACCACGTTATTAGGAGACCTGCTGTATGTATATATTGTTCATAGAAGGATACTTTTAAACGTAAAGGGAAGTGCTATTCATAATTTCACTATGTTACTAGGCATAAAACAGAGCCGTCTGGCACATTGGGACATATGGTCCTATCATAGACAAGGAAACTGAGGTTCCAAAGGGGTGGGAAGCTAGGCTAAGTGGAGGGGTCAGACTGGAGGCTACAGAAAGTGAGGCAGAAATGTCCCTGAGCCTCTTAACCAGGCGGGGAGAAGCAAACACACTTTTACAAAATCTCTGGAGAGCTGGGCTTGTCAATCTCATCTGCCTCTTGAACCCCAGGACTCAGAACCCAGGCTAACTCACAGGGCAGCAGAGGGGACCTAGGCTGGGACACTGAGCTGACTGTGGTCCCTACTCTGGTTACCTTGCCAGATCTAGGCGACAAACGGGACCTTCTCCTCCTTCCTCCGTCCTGCCTTTCCTGGACTGAGGGCTGTCTCTTCTGCCAACAGGAGGCCTTCCAGTCCAAGAAGGCTCTGGCAGCCAACCCATAAAGAGCCCTGAGGACATGACGAGAGTGAAAGGATCGAAATCAGAACACAGGCGTAGCGACAGAGTCTCCATTAGGTGCTCTCACTTGGGCCACGCGCGATGTTGGAGTCTTCTCTAGAAGCCCCAGCAGGACCATGGGACGAATTCTGCCCCTCCCTTCCATCCTCCCAGCTTATCTCTGACGCAGTGTGACCTTGCACATGCCTTCCGAGGACTGGGCCTATGTGTCTCCCTTTTTCAAAGTGAGGCTCCTGGATGTCCCGAAGGTGCATCTTCGGGAGCCGCCGCTGGTGACTGAATCAGCCCTTCCAGGACTGGGGGGGAGTGAGCGCCCTGTTGGCTGCTGCCCGCCACTCGCGCGGCGTGCGTGCCAGGAGAGGGGACGCGCTCCTGTCACCGGAGGCCCAAAGAGGTTTCCTCGGAACACTGACTCCACTGACTCTCCTGTCCGTGCCCTATCGCCCAAAGCCACCAGAGCTCAGGCTTCGTATTGGAAGAGACAGCGGAGAGACTCCGAGCGAGGCCTGAGGCGACGCCGACAGGGAGGGCCCAGGGCCGACCTCTCCGAGACCTTGCTCTTCGGCCTCGGCTTCGCCCTTTTGTCGGCTCTCCCGGGTTGGCCCCAACTTCGGGGCAAGACTCAGGTTGCTCAGCACTTCGGGGTCGCGGGGGACGCGGAGTGCGCAGGAGCCGAGCGTCCTCCTCCGCAAGCAGGTGGCGCCTCTGCGGAGACCAAACCGGGGTCGCCCGCGGCCGCGGCCGCGGCACCAGGCGGAGCCGGCCAGA